TGTTCCTTATCTTATTTTAATTGGAAAAGGTTACAAAACAGCATAAAATATGAATGCTGGCATTCAACAATTAAGGACTGGTAAATTACAAAAAAATAATATGAAGCCACACTAGGGATTTAGCTCAGTGATTCCGCTGCCTGCCTCACAGGCACAAGGACCCCACTTCAATCCCCAGTACCAAAAATAACAACAACAATAATAATAATATAAGCCATCAAAAATGATGCCATATGGGCCAGGTATTTAGCTCAGTGTTGCTGCCTGCCTCACAAGTGCAAGGTTCTGAGTTTGATCCTCATACAAAAAAAAAAAAAAAAATGATGGTGGTGCCTGCAATCCTAGCACTAGGGAGGATAAGGCAGGAGGACCACAGTGAGTTCAAGGCCCACTTGGGATACACAGTGAATTCAAGGCTAGCGTGAAGTGCATAGCAAGACCCTGTCTCAAAAAAAAGAATATTTAACAATTAGGGAAAGATTCTAAATAAACACAGAAAGCAGATTACAGAATACTATAGTATACAAAAGTATCAAAAATGTCATTCAAGGCCCCATGTGGTGAATACCTATAATCCTAGTACTTGAGCTGAGGCAGGAGGATTGCCATGAGTTCGAGGCCAGCCAAGATTACATAGTGAGTTCAAGGCCAACCTGGATACAGAACAAGACACTGTCTCAAAAAAAAAAAAAAATCACTAAAATTTGTTGAAAATAGCAAGCCAGATAGATCCAATGCTTGAAGGTTCTATGATATGCAATTAGATCGCATGACAGGATAAATGAGTGAGAAAACTGGGCAAAAATGGTGTTGCCTTTGCTTCAGAGTGTTCTGACAAAACATAGACCCAATCATGAAACTTTAGAACAGCTGTGACATCATCTTCAGGATGTGGTATTTTCCTACTTATTTACTGAGTTACCAATACTATTTGCCATGAAGATTTTCTTACAATGCTGTGAAGGCAAAGGCCACATGCAAACTCCCCACCTAAGAATCTAATGCCTCAATGATGTGTGTGTCCTGTTCTCATGAAACTTGCTCTTGGAAACCTAATAAAGGCATCAGAACAGTTTTCAGTAAGTTACATAAGGTCGCTAAGGAAAACTGCAGCCAACAGAGGAGTAAGGCAATACTGACTGAGCTCAGAAACAATTATGGAGACCTTCCTGAAACCTAACAGCTCTTCTTACAGAAAGTAGACTAAAAACAATCTGACACAGCATACTAAAAAAAATTTTATCAGGTAGTTTGTTCACTACCCTAAGAATGAGGGTATTTATCAGGAGTGTATATGGAATGGTTTTGGAGAAATACAGTGGTTGTCATTTTTCAGCAGTGCTAGGTATCAAACCCAGGACCTGGCAAATGCTAAGCAAATGCTACCACTAAAGTACATCCACAGCCTTAATCATTAGTTATAACAACAATGACCTTAAACTGTTACTATTATTACTTATACTAGGAAAATATTAAAAGGTTGGTCAATTCCAATATGACTCATACCTACTTACAAAGTTCAATTATCTTTTATTTTTTATTTGTTTTAAAAGTTTAATTATCATTCACTGTGCTCTCTAGTGCATTTAATCGAAATACATCCTTGACTAAGCGTCAACATAGTGGCACATGCTAGAGGCTGAATCAGGAGAATCATCTCAAATTCGAGACCAGCCTTGGCTACAGGGGAGTTCAAGGGCAGCCTGAATTACATAACAAGACCCTGGCTCATGCAAAAAAAAAAAAATTAACACAGGAGCCAGGTATGGTGGTGCACACCATAATCCCAATACCCTGGGGAGGCTGACATAGGAAGATCAGAAATTCAAACCCAGTAGGCAACCTGAAAGACTTAGTGAGACCCCCATTATGGAAGGAAGCAGTAAGGGACACAGAGAGAGGCAGAAGAATAGAAGTAAAATAACAAATTTACTCATTGATAAGGGTCGACTGCATAAGCGGTGACTGGATCGACAATGCACTGGGTTACAACTCCTTTTGTAGGGTTTCACAGCCTTGACTTCACTTGGGTGGTTACATTTCATTCTCAGTTCAAATCACGGTCACAGGATAGTTAATCTTTTCAACCCAGCTGTAACAGTTCTTTGCAGTTGGGGAGTTTACCTTTAAGATTCGCCTAGTTATCTATTCTAGTCCATAGGAAGCGGGTATTCAGGGTCAGGGGAGCAAATGTTGTTAACAATGGGTTCTTTCAGCTAGACACTCTTACGATCATGTGGCTCCAGTCTCTTCAGAGCTCAAGGTCTTGGGCCGGGGATTTAGCTCAGTGGTTCCACCACTTGCCCTGCAAGCGCAAGGACCCGAGTTCGATCCCCAGTACCAAAAAAAAAAAAAAAAAACAATAAACAACTGAAAACAGAGCTCAAGGTCTTGATGTGCCCTGTTATCTCAGGGTAAGACCAAATGCCTCATTCAGCAATTAGTGCCTTTGGTGCCTATTAGTTCTGAGCAAAACAAACTGCTGTTAGAGACAGCAGAAGCCACTTTACACTGTTAACACTTTTTAGGTTTTTGCTATTTAAAGAAATTTTCCTTATCACCCCGATCTCAAGATTAAAAAATATGCCGGGCGTGGTGGCGCACACCTGTAATCCCAGCACTGGGAGGCTGAGGCAGAAGGATCACTGTGAGTTCGAGACCAGCTTGGGCTACATAGTGAGATCCAGGACAGTCTCAACTACGTGTAGTGAGACCCTGTCTCAAAAAAAAAAAAAAAAAAAAAAAAAGGACCAGGCTCTGGGGATTTAGCTCAGTGGTTCTGCCACCTGCCTTGCAAGCGCAAGGACCTGAGTTCGATCCCCAGTACCAAAAAAAAAAAAAATGTACCAAAATCCCAACAATGAATGTAACTGTACTGTATCCCTAAAATGTACCAATAAACTCAATTAAAGCTGAAAAAAACACATGTACCAACTCCCCACAATAAATCTAATCATGTACTGTAAATGTGTGCTAAAATAAAAGAATAAAAATCAAAATAATAATTAAAAAGTAAATGAAAAGAGCTGGAGATGCATGCAGTTCAGCAGTTCAGTATGAAGGCTCTGGGTTCTATCCCCAGTACCATACCAAAAAAAAAAAAAAAAAAAAAAAAAAAAAAAAAGTCAACATGGGCCTGAGAATGTAATATGTACCAGCCATGTGTCAGGCCCTAGGTTCATCCCAAGCACCACAAAAAATAAAAATCAATGTAAATTAATGTCTACTTCATTTTTTATTTTTGTTTTTATTTCTATTACTTCATTTTTAAACACTTTCCCCCATGGGTTCTAATACAGAGAAGTTTATCTTAACATCTGTACTGTGCATTCCTAAAAATCTCATTTTTGCCTTTCTAATTTTAATCACAAAATGTAGGACAGATTTTTGCAAAATGAAGTGGATTTGTAATGAGGTAGATGGTATTTGTGTTTCAAGTTTTAAGCTAGGTTAAGCCAAGCACCTAGAAGTCCCTCACACACATTCATAAATCTGCTATGCCACTATCTGATATTAAAGATCACAGCCTCCTTTCTTATTCTTATTCTCAGCAGCCTGAGAAGATGGTCAAAAGTCCTTCAGAGCTAGGTGTGGTAGTGCATGCCTGTAATCCCATCACTCAAGAGGCTGAGGTAGGAGGATCTTGCCAGTTCCAGACCAGTCTAGGGTACACAGAGAGTTTAAAGCCATAAGGGGGTGGGGGGGCCTTCCATCCTTCAAATACCTAGCAAAAGAATCAGTAAACAGGGCCAGGGGTTTAGCTCAATGGTTCCCGCCACCTGTCCCCAGTTCGATCCTCAGTACAAAAAAAAAAAAAAGTAAACATTACCTTTTTTGGAGACAGGGTCTCACTGTGTCATTTAGTCTACTCTTGAACTCACTATGCAGCCCAGACTGACCTCAAACTCACAGCTAACCTCTTTAGTGCTGGGATTACAGGTGTGTGCCATCACAACCAGCAAACATGATCATTTAATACAAGTTTTTGGCAAATTTTAAATCACACTGGTAAACTGGAGTAAAAGAAAAGCTTAAAAGGATTGTCAAAGCTGGGTGTGGTGGCACACACCTGTAATCCAAGCACTCTGGGAAGCTAGAAGGATCTCAAATTCACATCCAGCTTGGGCAATTTAGCCAGCCCGTTTTAAATAAATAAGTAAATAAACAAACAAACAAATAAATAAGGCTAACGACAGTGGCTCAGTTAAGGAGGGGAGGAGTGGGGGCTACCAAAAAACACTTTATCCTTTTGTTTGACTTTTCAATAATCTGGCACTCTATTCCCAATACTTTATCATCACTTACAAGTGCTACCTTCATTTCTCACTCATCTGTATGCACTTAAATGGAAGACAGCAACTATCCCTGCTTTAAACAACTATGCACTGGGCCAGGGGATTTAGCTCAGTGGCAACACACCTGCCTCGCAAGCACACAAGGTCCCAAACTGGATCCCCAGTACCATAAATAAATAAACAAACAAACAACTATGCGCTTACAAGCAGAAAAGACAAAATGGGCCTCCTCCCATTGCTCAAAGAAATTAGTTTTCCTAGAGGAATGAGTGCCCCAGATCCTAGACCATATACAAGACCCTTTAAGCATTCATGACAAATTTAATTTTATATTTCAGGCTAAACAGCTCAGGATTCTCTCAAACTATTAATCTACAGATCTTCAAAGAAAAATGTTCTTCTTGTTCATAATCATGAACAGTAAGCACTACCAAATCCTTCACAGCAATTCAACTATTTCATTTCTATCCATCCTCCTATGCACAAGATTCCAACCTGTGAGAGGGGAATCAAGTGACTCCTTAAGAATACATATTCATAGTGAGACCCTGCCTCAAAAAACCAAAAAAATAAAGACCAATTACATGTTGTCTATAAAGCCTTGGACTCTAAGTGACACAGAGCTCTTATTAACTATTCATTTTTATATTTCTATTTTTCTAATTCCTCTTTCTATAAAAGTTTTAAGAATGGGAAGCTGGTTACCTTTTTAACACTTTCTTCTTCCTCTTGGCGTTTCTCATAGTGTGAGAAGTCATCAAAAATGGAAGTGGTGTGCTTGTAGCTGGCTATGATTTTCAACACCTGCTTAGCTTTTTCCAGAGGCACTTCCTGAGTGTCCCTCGAGTTGGTCACTGGTTTATTCTCATTGTTCTCTAGGCGAATGTGTCGCAGCTGGCTATTGGGAACGTCCTTCACAAAAATCCATCTAACATCAAAACGACCCTTCCATTTGTCCTGGGACCAAACACCTGCACATGTGTTGTAGTCCACAGCAGATTTCATTTCTGCAACGCCACAGAAGTGTCCACTGCCGTTGACACTGAAAAGTAAGTAAACGGGGCCTTTCCCGTTCATGGAACGGTAAGCAGCATCCAGTCTCTTGTTACCATGCTCTGTGCTGCACCAGATATTATACTTAATGGAACGGTGGATATCGTCCTCAGAGTAGCTCTTGATGATGAAAACCCGGCCATGTTTCAGATTCCAGTCAAAATCCTTGGGGTTATAATTATTAATGGACCGTAGCTTCTCCAACACTGGGTGTGGCTCTGAAGGAGTAGATCCTGAACCAGCCTGGGACTGTCCTACTCCATTACCATCCACCCCATTATGACCGAACCCACTGCCACGGTTCCGAGGTGCTACCCAGCGGGTGGGCTGAGCTGCCTGTTGCTGAACTGAGAGCTGGGCAGGCTGTGGTGGAGGTGGAGGCAATGGCTGCGTCTGTTGCCCTACTGATGCCTGAGCCACTGGTGGGCTGTTGTTAACCTGCTGACCTACAGGCTGGGGAGACCCTTGGGTTGGCTGACCTATATTCTGAACCAAAGCCTGTGAAGGGGCTTTTGCCATTGGACCCTTGTTATCCCAAGTTCCAATATCCATGTTATGTTTTATTGGGGGCGGTGGAAGACTTGAACCTGCAATGCCATTCTTGGTCTTCAGCTTGGGTTGCTGTTTTGCAGGCTTGCTAGCAATATCAGCCCAAGATGCTGGTTTTGGAGGAGCAATGGTAGCTGGAGGCAAATTATTGGAAGCCACGATGTTGCTAGTAATGGACCCACTACCGACAGCAGAACCTACAACTTTTGGAACACTGCTTGCAACTTCTGTGCTACCCAGCTTCAGTGCTGCCATCCCTTGGTCTATAGTATTCATGCCAGGAGCCTTATTGAGGGTCTCATTGGCAAAAGCTGACTGTCCATCAATCATGGCTCCACCTAAGGAGCTAGGTGCATAAGCATAATTGCTACTATATCCAGAGCTCTGTGTGGACTGTCCCTGAGAACTGTTATTTCCCCACGCTGAGAAGTCAATCCCACTGGGAAAGAAATTAAAACCATGCTGACCCAGAAATGGAGTGCTACCTAGGGCTCCCGGTTGCCCAAACATTGCATCTGGTAGGAAGTGGGGCTCTCCGTTGCTCAGCTGTCCGTAAGAAGTTAGATAGGGCATGGCTGTGTCACCCCCAGTAGACCAAGCAGCTTCACCCAAAGAATAAGAAAAGCCAATGGAGGGGCTGTAGTAACTGGGTAAGTAGGAGTCTGACATGGCAGTATATGCATTATTCTGTGAAAGAAAGAAAAAAGGCAAATAAATCAAAACACAAACATTAACATCAGCATATTTCCTCCCCTAATAACCACACAATTCAACTATTTCAGTGATTACTACAAAAAAGGAAAGCACATTCAAATGATCAGTCTAAGCTGTTTTAGGCCAAGCCTGAGCAACTTGGTAGAAATCCTGTCTCAAAAGGGAAGGGTGAGTTGGGCATGGTGGTGCATGCCTGAAATACCAGTACTGGAGGCTGAAAGATCAACCTTAAATCCAGGTGAGCCTGGAACTACATAGTGAGACTCTGTCTCAAATTTAATAAAAAAAGGGCTGGGGATTTAGCTCAGTGGTTCCACCATCTGCTTTGCAAGCACAAGGTCCAGAGTTCAATCCCCGGTATTAAAAAAAAAAAAAAAAAAAAAGTGGGGGGGATGATAAAGTTCATTGTGAAGGCCCTGAGCTCAATCCTCAGTACTGGAGGAAAAAAATTATCATTCTTTTGGCATAATAATAAAAAAAGTTAAAAATATTTAAAGTTAAGCTAATATATGCAGCAAATATGGCACTTTAGTATTACAATTTAAAAAGGGAACATAACATCTTACCAACAGTCTGTCCTACTCTACTCCATGTTAAGTGTTGAGATGATGTTTCACACTGAATTTGGGCATGGTATACCCAACATTATTCCCAGCACTAGGGAGGCTGATACAGGAGGACAGAAAATTTGAGGCCACCCTGAGTTACAAAGCAAGTTCAAGGCTGACCACAGCTACATGATAAGAATTCTTGACTCAAAATAAAAAAAGTTCTTACCAAAACCAGGAAATAGGTTAAAAAAAAAAAAAAAAGAAAGAAATTTCAAAACTAGCTCAAATATCTGTGTAATCATTCCTCAATCTTAACAAAAATACAAGGTTCAGGCCAGGGATTTAGCTCAGCGGTTCAGTGGCCTGCCCTGCAAGCGCAAGGACCGGAGTTCAATCCCTGGTACCAAAAAAAAAAAAAAAAAAAAAAAAAAAAAAAAAGGCAAGGTTTATTATATAGTTTACGTTAGCTTCTAGTCAAACCATTTAAAAATGTTAAATGATAACACGAATTGTATCTTGAAATGAGATGCTCAATAGATTCCAGAGAATTTAAAATGAGAAACATCAGTGTCTGTTTTGCTTAACCTATAAAACTAATGACTATAAATTTAAATGCATCTAATTTTTCCATTCAAAATAGTACAGTGATGCCAGGTGGTGGCACATGCCTATAATCCTAACACTCTGGGAGGCTAAAGCAAGATCAACAAAGTTCAAGCTTTGGATGCTGGGGATTTAGCACAGTGACACTGTGTCTGCCCAGCAAGTGCAAAGTCCTGAGTTCAATTCCCAAAACCGGGATTAAAAAAAAATATGAAAGTTCAAGCCCAACCTGGGCAATTTAGCAACACTCCTTTTCAAAAGAGGGAGGGAGGGAGGGAGGGGAGAAAGAAGACAAGCGGGCAATTTACAATTTAAATATTTAGGATTTATTGAAATATTAATTTGTCCTGGCACGGTTATGCACACCTGAAATCCCAACACTTGGGAAGCTGAGGCAGGAAGATTGCCACAAGTTCGAAGCCAACTTGGGCTACACAGTGAGTTCAACATCAGTCTAAACTACATAGCAAGGGTACGGGTCCAGGGATAAGCGCAAGGACCAGAGAGCCTGATACCAAAACCAAAACCAACCAACCAACAAACAAAAAACAGCAAAAAAAAAAAAAACAAACCTACATAGCAAGACCATATCTCAAGGAAAAAAAAATCTTCACACCAAGATACAGATTATGTTGTGAAAACCTCAACAGCCCTTGACCTTAGTGCTGAAAACAATTTTTTTTAAGTCCTACAGCTCACATGATAATCTAAGTAAAAAACCAGACATATCTAAAATTGGTGTCTATAGCTATAGACCCAGCTCAACTCAAAATAGAGTTTGGTGATACATGCCTATAATCCTAGCACACTGGAAGACAGCGGCAAGAAGGATCCTAAGTTTGAGCCCAGCCTGGGCAACTTAGTGAGACCCTGTCTCAAAATAAAATAAAAAGGGCTCAAAATGTAGCTCAGGGCAAAGGTCCTGGGTTTAATCCCCAGTATAGGAGTGTAGAGGAAAGAAGCACAACATTTAATTCCAATAATTTTGGCAATAGTGATGCATTAAGACAGCTTTGGCTTCAATAGACATTAACTACCTTAGGCCCTATTCTATTACCAAGGCCAACAGTACTCTTCAGTTGCTAAAGTTTTTTTCAGTACCAGCGACTGAACTCAGGACCTTGCATGTGCAAGGCACGTGCAGCACCACTGAGCTAAATCCCAGGCCCTCTAAATTTTTTGATTTAACAGAATTTAATAAAATGGCTGTACTTTTCTTTACCACTTTAAATTTTTCCCTAAAAACTAAAGTTAAAGTTGGGCGTGGTGGCGCACACCTGAAATCCCAGCACTCAGGAGGCTGAGGCAGGAGGATCGCTGTGAGTTCGAAACCAGCCTGGGCTACATAGTGAGTTCCAGGTCAGTCTCAACTACAAGTGAGACCTTGTCTCAAAATAAAAAACAAACAAACAAAAAAGCTAAAGTTAAAGCCAGACACAGTGGTGCATATCTGTAATTCCAATACTCTGGAAGGCTGAGGCAGGAGGATTGAAGTCTGAGCCCAGCTTGGGGAAACTTAATGAGATCCTGTCTCCAAAAAACAAAACACACACAGACACACACACATACAGAGAAGAGGGGGGAGCAGGAGAGAGGGAAAAAGAGAGAAAATAAAAAGATATAGGGATGCAACTCAGGATGAAGAACCTAAAACTAAAATTAAGCTACTTATGGTAGCACACTCCTATAATCCCATCTTCTGGGTAAGCTGAGGCAGTTCACATCCAAGGTCAGCCTAGGCAGCTTTGCAAGACTGCCTCAAAATAAAAAAAAAAGAGCTAGGGATGGAGCTCAGTGTTCCTGAGTTCAAGCGCCTATACTGCCAAATAAAAGTATTCCATACATACCCTCTCTAATCTAAAAGTTCTCAAAGGTGGTGTTAAATTTTTACCACAGACATAAATCCATTAGAGTCAAAGGATTAAACTTGAAATATTATTCCAACATAGAGTAATAAAAATTTGGTTTAAAAGTACTAGAAGTGCCAGGGGAGGTGACACACTTCTATAAACCCAGCACTCACACTGAGGAGGCTGTGGCAGGAGGGTTCAAAACCAGCCTGGGCTACATAGTGAGTTCGAAGCCAGTCTGAACTACATAAGCGAGAATGTCTCAACCGCCCCCCCAAAAAAAACCCACACAAATAATCATATGTGAGTCTTGGATTCAATCCCCAACACTGCACACACACACACACAAAAAAAAGTACTGTACATGAATTACTCTTGATGACAAACTACAAAAAACAAAACTTCTCATGTTACCTTTCTCCAATCCAAGATTTACATTTTCCTCCAAATCTGTTTAAACAGACCGTTAAGATTTGGCTTGAGAAAGAAAAACCAAGTGCACTTAATATCACAGATCATGCCAAGATATAGCTGAATGCCTACACATGAACTGGCAGGTTCCCACATGCCCCTGAGCTCAAAAATCTGGATTACACAATGTTTTACAAGAACTCCCTAGAATTATGTTCCTAAATGCTCCTGTTCTCCCTGTTATAATGATTATGTAAGCAAACTACTTCAATAGCAGGAATCTATTAATAGTTTATTCCTCTACTTCCTTCTCTACTTTTCCTGATTAATTGGATGTCTTCTGTGAAAACTTTCCAGTCACTTAAGTGGTTTCTACACTTCCAATGCAGAAAATTTCATATTGGAAATTTGAAATTTTGCAAGAAGTAGGTCCAACTATGGGTATGCATTAATGTCAACTGCATTTGATATATATGATCATATTCATAATTTATGCAAATGATTCATGCTTTTGATCTTTTAATATCTCCTGAAAGAAATACTGTCAATTCTCTGGACCTATTAATTTAATGACTTTTACTAGCTGTAAGTTTGTGATTGTCACCCCTATGGGTAAAAAATAAATAAATAAATGGGTTTTTTTTTTGAAGTTTGTGATTATCTTTTAGGACTTGAAATAACACACAAAACTCAAATTAAACAAGTTTCTATAGTACAGATCATATTAAACAATACTGAAATCTACATGCAACCAATTTTAAACTTAAAAGGCATTATATGGCAAGTACTTCAAATACTTTTGAGGGGAGGGTGCTGGTATTGGGGTTGTAAATTGCACTCACCAACAGCTCCTCTACTGCTGTTACCCTTACCTCTACCTCAATAATTCTCAGTCTGATTTTAGTTTGTGCCAGACAGTACTTTTAACTCCACTTCATAAATCCTATAGTTCACTTTAGTAAGAAGCCAGAGATATACAAAGTTTATTTCTACAAATATTAAACACAGCTTAACTCAAAGCTGGGCGTGGTAGCACACGCTTGTAATTCCAGCACTCAGCGGGCTGAGGCAGGAGATTTATTTTCAAGAGTTAGAGGCCAGCCTGGGCTACAGGGAAGTTCAAGGAGAGCCTGAACTATAACAAGACTGTCTCAAAACAACAAAAACAAACAAACAAACAAACAAAAAGTCCTCTAAATATAGATCAAAATAGCAAATATTCAATTCCAAAATAATTCTGATAAACGAAGACCCCATTAATAGTGACCAAACAGAAAACAGCCAGTCTGTAGCACTGAACAAAGTTCACGTGATTTTATATTAAAATATATTCCATCACACTATTAATCCAATTTTCCTAATTTTTCTGAGACAAAAATTCAAAATATTTAATTCTGGAAAGTATTCTTAAATTGTGCCCTGCGATATTCTTGTTAAGGAAGGGCAATTATACTGCTATTACTGTTGGTACACAGTAAAATGTTATCAGTAGTAAGGTACATTGTGTTCATAACACTTGTAATAACTGTTTCATAATACTTTAAGAGGTACTAAGAAAGTGACCCCCCCAAAATAACAGATTTGATAGGGCAAAGACCACTAGTATACTACATCCTCTTATCAGATATGTAAATGACCAGCTACTCACGGGTCTTGCCTGTGGACTCAAGTAAGGTTCAAAATCATCATCGTTTAATCCATCCTTTTGATGTACGGATCCATTTTGTACTAAAGGAAAAATTTCAAATTAGCGGTATACCAACCCTAAATTCAGACAAATATAACCTAACCGAAGAAAAACCTTAGTGGTTCAGAAAGCACGTTAAGTATGAACTTCAAAAGGCTAAAGATGAAAGTGAAGGCTGGAGCAAGATTCATCCGTGAAAATGTTTCCCTCCACCCAGAGCAAGATGTTCTAAAAAGGTCATTTTATTGGCTCCTCTAGATTTCGATTCTCGCCCGCTACCCCTCCCCCATCGCATGAGTTACTTCCAGAAAGTGATCCACGAGGATGAAAAACAAAGGCCTTCTAAGACCTACAGGAAACTAAGGACCTGGGGCATTTCAAAACGGAATCCACCCCCACCCCTGATGAATTAGCCCTTGTTAGCTAAAAAGCTGTTCTCCAGCTGCAGGAACACACCGAAAGGGTCAAACACTCAAGCGGGAGGCACCTGCGAGCAGAGCTGCTCCCGAAAGGTCCCCTCCCCGGGGCGCTCCCCGCAGACCCCGCCCCCAGGTCCCCTCCCGGAGGGCCCGCGGACACCGGCGGAGCGGGGCGGCTCACCTTTGTTCCCTTGCCCTTTAGGTCTCTGCGGGCCAAGGCAGCGTCACCGAGCAGCAAGTTGTCCGGGAAGAAACGGAAAAGGAAAAAGACAAATGAAAGCAGGGCCCGAGAAGGAAATAAAGGAGCGGACCCGAGGGGAGGCGTCAGGAATGGTGGTGAGGGGGAGGCTGGAAAAGAGAGGCGGGGGGGAAAGCGCAAGGCCGGGGAGCCCGGGGAAAAAAAGCGGGGGACGCGCCAGCGGCGGCGA